CACCATTAAAGCAGTCTGAGCAGGGGTTTTCAAACCGTGTTCCCATAACTCCTTGCTGAAGGGGGAGGCCAACTTGCCCACTTAAATTGGAGCACCTAAACTGCTATCAGGTTGATATACTGCTGGGATTCCTTCTTAAGATTTCCTTTGAAAAATAGGTCCTATAGCTTTAACAACAACAACAATTCTTTTTAATATTCCAGTATTTACTGACACCTGGATGAGATGGGTTACTTTGGTCTTGAGCAAACTAAGGTGACGTAGAGTAAGGGATTGAGAGAAATGTCAATTGTTTCAGAGATAAAAAAATGAAAAATTATGCTCCTGTGGAACATTTGTTATTCTTAGTTTTCCAGCATAAGCCACATTTCTGTTGTTTTGACATTTGGTCAACATAGCCCAGAGGTCCAGCCTGGAGGGCCTTAGTAACCGCTCTTGGCATAAGGCCTGCAGTTGCATTGGAATGCTTTCATGTCCAGCCTTGAATGTCTACTTACATTTGTGCTAGTGAGGCCCATAGCTAAGGGCCTAGAGTTCCCTATGTTAACATTTGACTTACAGGACAAACGAGAACTGCATTTTTTTTACCTGTTTTTAAGTTGCATCTGGGTATCTAGCAACTCTGTGTATCCTCCTCCCTGGGTCCCTTACATGCTTTCCATTGTGACCTCTGTTAAGCTCATTGAAGGGATGGACAGGAGAATCAACATTTACTGAGTACCTGCTATGTGCCTGGCACTGTGCTAGGTGCTTTGAGTATACTGTTTAAAACTCAGAACAACTTTATGAGATAGGTACTCTCATCCTTAATTTCAGATGAACAAACTGAGCCTGAGAGAGGCTAAGTAACTTTCTTCTAACTCAGGTTTCTCTGTTTCAATTATAAAAGACGTATAAATTGGTGATTTTCTGTCAGACCTGCAAATCCAGTTTTGTCTCCTCCTCTCCCTTATGCTTTGTAGTATTGGTTCCTGTTTTGTCACTCTTCCAGAAAGGTGATCTATAGACAGCCTACTGTGGCTTGTTGTGAGGCCCCAAATCCTAACCTTGCTATTATTGACTTCTCCCAGGGTCCTATCCTTCCCCCAAAGCTGGAGCGACTCTGGTTGTATACAAGGACCTGCTGGTGCTGTTTGGTGGCTGGACGCGGCCAAGCCCTTATCCCCTACACCAACCAGAGAGATTCTTTGATGAAATACATACTTACTCACCCTCTAAAAACTGGTAAGCCACAAGGAAAAGATCTTTTCAGTCTGGAGTAGAAGATTTCAAATGACTGGATTTCTCATCTTATTTATGTGTATCCAGGAATCGCTTTGAGAATTTGATGAAAACTTTGGACTCTTTTCCCAGAAAAATAATTTTACATATGCACAGATTTTACCTACAGTTTCAGAGGGTGTACAGGACCCCCTTAAAACTTGAAGTTAAAGTCCCTTATTCCAAAGAGAAAAGATAGAATAAAAAAAGATTTATTTCTCTTGCAAGAATAATGAATGAGCCAGTTAAGGAATAGGGAGCTCTTCAACTTTGGCTACTGACTCCCCAGGAGTGCTGTGGAGCCAGATGATTCTTTATTCCCTGTTGTGTGCCCAAGACTGACTCTCAATTGTTTTTCAAACTTGTCTTTTTTTAATGACAGTAACCCCTGTTCCTTTTAATAGACTGCTTATTACAGGGCTCGTGGCAACTGCTACTGATCAGATCAGGACTGCAGAAAGAAGTAGCAGGTGGTACTTCTTCAGTCAACGAGGCTGAAGCAGGCAAGGAACCAGAATGGAGTTCCTTGTCATTGTTTTCTCATCTCTCCACTCTACCTCCAAGCCATACAACCTTGAGAAGTTGAAAGTGAATATAACTGTAGCAGATTTGTAGAAAAGGCATAAATGCCTTACGCCATCCTCATTTATTACCCTAACAGTATCTCTTCTGAAGGTGATAGGTTTGTTATTTTAAATGGATGCCTCCTTACCATTTTGCACCTTAAACACATAAGACCAGAAGTGGAGGAGCTGACTTCTTGGCTTCCTCCTGTCTTTTTATATTAGGTGGAACTGCATTGTGACGACCCATGGCCCACCTCCCATGGCCGGCCATTCCTCCTGTGTGATAGAAGATAAAATGATTGTCTTTGGTGGCTCCTTAGGATCCCGGCAAATGTAAGTATATTTGGTTTGTGCCCTATCAATCTGAAGGTAAATTCTCCTGGAATAAATAACAGGTCAGAAGAGTAAACTAGGCAGGGTCAGTATCCCTGAACATGGTTCTAATTAATCTAATTAGTTATCTCACCCTAGTATTCCATTGTTTGATTCCAATTATAGACCAATAAGTTGAAAAATAAATAAAATCCATAAAATCAGGGCTGTGTTATGTAGGATCTTTTTTGTTTGGTATGTAGTTCAGTTGAGTGAGATCAAATTCTTATGGGGCCTCCACCTTGTTTCTACCTACTTGTGCCTACAGAAGGCCCCCTTCCAAGAAGCAGAGCACTTCTATTTGCTCTCCTTTGTGGCGCAGCCATTCTCAAGAAGAGAGGTGGATTGACAGGACAAGTGGCAATGGTTCACTCTCCAAATGGGTTGGGTTGAGGGAGAGGGTAGGAGCAAGAAAACTGTGTCAGGCCTGACACACCTCTGTGAGGTGGTTCTCCCTATCCACTGTCCTCCCTCTCTGGTCATGGCTGGCCAGCTCGGGTCAGGGCTAAAGCCAGAGCAGCCTGTTGGAACCACTGCTTGTCTGCTGGGCATAGCAGCAGCAGCAGTCGTTTCCCCTGTGCTGTGAGGTGGAAGTTGTTGAGCTGTCAGCAGTAAAACCATTCCAGACCCCACCCTGTTCTCTCTCAGGATACTCTCCATCTTCTTATTTTAAAACAGTTGTGCAGGAGACTGTGTAAGCTCTGCCCTCCAAACGAGAGGATTTAGGGCTTAAGGTATTGGTGCTCTTACTCCTGTGTTCCTTTATGTGAATAAATGACCTTAGAGAGAGGACCGTAGACTAGAGACTGCCATTTAGGAGTCTGTCCTTCCCACACTGGCCCCTCGAGGGTTGGAGATGTCACTTTGTCCTTGATAAAACTGCAACTTTCATTAGCCATGGTAAAATTACTTTTTGTAGGCAAAATCTATAGATATCTCCTGGACGATGATAGAACTGCCTTTTGAATAGTTTTTTTCTCTTCCTTGTGGGTTTTGCCTTTGAAAGAGTGTATTTTGACTAGTAGTTATTTCCTGCTACCACCAGTTAATTAACTCTTACTTGAGGTATTCATGTTTGGCTACATACATGACTCAAATGTGGCCTTATAGGTCAGTGGAAAAGCAGAGGTTTGAATGTCTCCTTTCAGGAAAAAGAGGGGGAGAAAAATATAATCTGAATGCTAACTATGAACATGACACTTTTAAGGGCATCCTTATAAATGTAACCTCATTTATATCAGTTCTTGTGATCCCTGAGAGCTCCCAACTCCTTCATTCTTATGTCCTTATCTTATAGGAGCAACGATGTCTGGGTCCTTGACCTCGAGCAGTGGGCGTGGTCCAAGCCAAACATCTCCGGCCCTAGTCCTCATCCTCGAGGTGGCCAATCTCAGGTGCTCAGGAATTAAAAATAACTATTCAGCAAACACTGTAGCATCTTTCAGTTAGGACAGGAGAGGGAGGAGGGAGTCAGGTAAGATGCCAACATACGTAAGCCCAAGAGAATTTATCATCCCTTTTTGCTGGTATTTATTTTTCAACTTCTAATGCGTTGTAATTATTTTTGGTGGCTTTATATTATGCCTCTCTCGAAAGCACTTACTTTACTTTTTTATTTTTCAAGAGAAACCTGCATTTAATGTGGTTGGCACTCTCATGTTAATAATATTTGATCAACAAAGAGTCCATTCAGGTGAATCATCAGTAATTTGTTTACAGGGATCAGAACTGACTTGGTTTGGGGGAATGGAGAACCTATGGTAAATAGAATACTCTCAGTTGGGAGCTAAGTAGACTATTTTTATATACCGCTGAAGTATAAGAAGTCAGATGCCTGTGTCTTTGTAGGTTTATTTTAAATTTCTTCCTCTCCCCAGATTGTCATAGATGATGCAACTATCTTAATCCTCGGAGGGTGTGGCGGTCCCAATGCTGTGAGTACTGCTGGTGTGGCTTTCTCATGCACATGCTGCTATGTTCAAAACTTGCTTCCCCTGTCTCATCTTGTAAGAGTGTAAAAGATGGCCATTTCTGTGGTATTTTCTGGCCTTTCTCTCCACTCTTTTTTGTAGGGAGGAGGAGGGAAGCTTTTCATCAGAAACATTCATCTCTTGAACATGCATGTCTATAGTCTTTCTACTCCACTTAGTCTTTAGGCTATGAAGTTTACTGCTGTCATTCTTTCAAGGAGGGGTAGGACAACAAAGCAGGTTGATAACAGCCAGAGTTCACATGGAATTTATTTCAGAACACAGATTCAGACATTTGTGTATGTATTATCTACCCTGTCCATCAACACACACACACAAAACCGCAGGCAAATTCACTTAAAACTCTTTCATGGGGTCACAAGTACAATTTTATGTGCTAGGCCAGTGGTAATAAGTGAATGAATGGCCAAAGATTTTGCTGTTCTTTCTGAAGAGCCCACACATTCTGTTTACCAGATAGTGCAAATTTGAGATTCCAGCTTTGTGTGTGTGTGTACTTTGTAACATGTACCTGACTCCTGTTGTTGGTCCTTCTCTTACAGCTGTTCAAGGATGCTTGGTTGTTGCACATACACTCAGGTCCCTGGGCCTGGCAGCCACTCAAGGTAGAAAATGAAGATCATGGGGCTCCGGAACTGTGGTGCCATCCAGCTTGCCGGGTAAGCAGAGAGCTGGCAGGCCAGCAGAAGGAGAGGCCCATAACTGGGAAGCCAGAGTAACTCGTCAGATTCCCAAGCAGCTTTGTATGGAAATTGAAAACACCCTTGATGTCCCAAAAGAGGTAGACATTAACCATAGCTACGTGGGCATTTCTGACATACATCAGCCGCTAGATGGAAAAACTTATGTGGGTCCTGCTCATCCTTTAGGCCCCAGCTTTAAGCATCTCTTTGTCTGTAAAACTTGCCGTAGGGTCCCCCAAACAAAAACCTGTTCCTCCCTCCACTCTACCCTATTCTGTAGACATAATTCGAATGATAGCACATGTCACACTATAGCAACAAATTGTTCCCATGTCTACACCTACTTCTAGCCTAAAGGGCAGGCTACATTATTTTCATCTCTATATCTCAGGTACCTACAGAATGCCTGGCACATTGCAGATGCTCATCATAAAATGTTTGATGGTTAAATGAATGATCAGAACTGAGCACAAATCTTCTGTCTTCCAGGTGGGGCAGTGTGTTGTGGTCTTCAGTCAGGCTCCTAGTGGGAGAGCCCCACTCAGCCCCAGTTTGAACTCTCGCCCTTCACCTATCAGTGCCACTCCCCCAGCCCTGGTTCCCGAAACCCGAGAATATCGCTCTCAGTCTCCAGTAAGAAGTATGGATGAAGCTCCTTGTGTTAATGGCCGCTGGGGAACACTGAGGCCCAGAGCTCAAAGGCAGACTCCCTCAAGTTCTCGAGAAGGAAGCCTTTCCCCAGCCAGAGGAGATGGCTCTCCCATCCTCAATGGTGGGAGTTTATCTCCAGGATCAGCAGCTGTAGGTGGCTCTTCCTTGGACAGCCCTGTACAGGCTATCTCTCCTAGCACACCATCTACCACTGAAGGATATGACCTAAAAATGGGACTTTCTTTGGCCCCCCGAAGAGGGTCACTACCAGATCAGAAAGATCTAAGATTAGGATCAATAGATCTGAATTGGGATCTGAAACCTACTTCCAGTAGCAATCATATGGATGGCGTGGACAGCAGGACAGTTGGGGGAAGTATGAGACACTCTTCTGAACAGACGAATGGTGTGCATACACCACCGCATGTGGCCAGTGCCCTTGCAGGAGCCGTTTCCCCAGGTGCCCTGCGTCGGAGCCTAGAAGCCATCAAAGCAATGTCATCCAAAGGCCCCCCGGCCTCTGCAGCACTGAGTCCTCCTCTGGGGTCTTCTCCAGGCTCCCCTGGGGGCCAGAACCTGAGTAGCGGAGAAACAGTGCCCGTTCCCCGTCCAGGGCCTGCCCAAGGAGATGGACATTCCTTACCTCCCATTGCCCGCCGCCTGGGCCACCACCCTCCACAGTCCCTAAATGTTGGCAAACCTTTGTACCAGAGTATGAACTGCAAACCCATGCAGATGTACGTGCTGGACATTAAAGACACCAAGGAAAAGGGGCGGGTCAAATGGAAAGTATTTAATAGCAGTTCTGTGGTTGGACCTCCAGAAACCAGCCTGCATACAGTAGTACAGGGCAGGGGTGAACTCATCATATTTGGAGGACTCATGGACAAGAAACAGAATGTGAAGTACTATCCAAAAACAAACGCCTTGTACTTTGTGCGAGCAAAGAGATAATGTGTTCTAAATCCCTTTCCCTTCCTGTGGCTTTTAATTTGGAATTTTCCAGCGTGCAAGCATTTGGACTGAGAATTGAGAAAACAGAGGAAAAATTACTCTCATAAACCAAAACGCCAATTCCCAGCCTCACTCACTCCAGGCTGGGATCAAATCTCCATTAAGAAAAAAAATTATATAAATATATAAATATATATTATAGAGCCAACTCTGTTTACAAAGAGGGGGAGATCTCCGTCCTGGTTCAGATAAAATTGTTGCTGTGTTTTAGCAGAGGCTGTGCTGCCTTTTTCTACTTTGCTGGTAACTAGACCAAGAATTTAGGGAACAGACTAATACCAGAACTCTCCTAAAGACACTGAAGAGCCACCTGTAAATCTTATTTGGCCTTCTCGGAGTTAGAAAAAGAAAGGGTATGTGTAAGATGCACAGTGGAGGTTTCAGGTTCACATGCTTCAGATGCTGGCAGGGTACAGTAGCCTATAGAAAACTCCGCTCCCCCCGCCCCCCAGCGAGGACCTGTGAAAAGCTCTCTCTGCTGGGATGCCCAGTGCCAGGCCCCATCCTGCCCTTTGTGACTGAGGAGAGTTACCCACCAAGGGCTTTTTTTTCCACATTTGTGTGCCAGGGTCATCATGAAACAATGTTTATGGAGCAGCAGCTGTCCATCTAGTGTCCATTGGTCTTTGAGTGCTCCCTCCATGTCTCAGAAAACATTCTGGTGTCTGTGGAATTTTCTGACAATTGTATTTGGTTGCAGTTGCCAAAACCCACATTTGTTCTCTTTCCTTCCCTTAAATCCTGATCCTCAGAGGCTGCCTTTTCCATTTATAGGCTGCTTTCCTTCCTGCCTGCCTTCCATCCTTCCTTCTGTCCCTCTGCCCCTCCACTCTCCTCCCCTCCCTCCCATCTTTTATGTGGGTTTTTTTAAGCCCTAAAAGCTTTTTCACTTTCTTGCCTTTTACAAAGCTTGGGTACCCAGAGAAACCTCTTAGAAATATTTCTGGAACCCTGTTTCTGGTGTCACTAGGGGACCAGTAAGGGATTCTGAGATGCCAGTATCATGAGAGATCCTTAAAGCATCAAAAGATACTGTTTTACCTTATGGACTTCTTTTTATTTGCAAAGCACATTGGACACACCCATCCATGTTTATAGAACGTGGAAATTGATCTTGGAAGAGAATTCCAGGAAACAATTCCTTCTAGAAGTGATTTTTGCCCTTGTTTGTGACATGCATTTTTCTGTCTGGCTGTTGACTGGTGATTGGATTGGGTATCACATGTTTGGCCTCTTTGATGCACGACTGACCTTGGGAGCAGCTCCTTTTTTTGTGATTGTGGTGTTCACCTGTCACCCAGACAAGGCCTGGGTTTTTACTTTCATGTCATTTCTGAGATAAGGTGTAATCAGCTAGAACATTCCTTTGGTTGATACAGGAAATTACAAGATACCAGTCTCTAAACCATGGCCTGGACATAGGAGATATTGGCACCACTTAAATGTGGGCTTTTGAGTTATTTCCTATCAATGGAAAGAGGATTTTTATTTTGCCTTTAGGATTTAAATTTCAAAACACTGCATTTCTCATCCCCACACTCCCCTTTTTCATGTTAGCATTTCCCAAGCACAAGCCTGCTACAGCTGGCCCTGAGTCCTGGCTTTCAGCCAGCTCTCAGCAGTCCGTCTGATAAGTATGTTTTCTCCTGTTACATCATGTTGAATCCTTTCCCCTAGCTATTCCCTTTTACAATGCGGTCTTGGTGGGAAACCCCCCCTGGTGCCAAGCCCAAGAAAGGGCCAGCTCACAGCGAGTGTGGTATGTGTTCCAGAAACTGCTCTGTGTGTTCCCTAAGATGAGAAAACAACCATGTGCCTACTTACTATGGTGTCCAACTGCTTGTAGCTCAGCACTTAGCCTTCCAGACTCTCTGCTCTGGGCCTGTTGCCAGTCCTTCTTTGGCAAAGACTGTTAGATCAGGCAGGGGTCCTTATTCACAAGAGAAAGCTAGCCTAGAAGATTAGCAGTTTTGGCATTATTGCTGTGGCTGAACCTTGTTTATGACATTGCATTTGTGCATGGACGGTGCCTCCAAGCTCAGTTCCTGTTTAAATATAAAGTTTTTGGAAGCCTGAAAGTTAAGAATCTCAACTTTGTAATCTTCCCCTTTGTCCTGTGGCCTTCCTAAGCTAGCTGTTAACTTGTTGATTCCTTCTACTTTCCCCAAGTAGGCAGGCAACAGAGATGATGATTCTCTTAGAAAGTAACCTGGCTCCTTGGAACTCTGTGGCATCCCAGTATTACCTGTACCATTTGGAACTAGACTGTCTGTTTACAGCGCTTTAAGAACAGTTTGCCTCTTCTGCAGGTGGTGGTGTTGGTCTTGGTGGCTCCTGGGCATTGTGGGCACACACCTTGGAGAGCGACTCAGCACAATCAAGGTGATTGTCTCCTTAGGCCCTTGTGAAGCCACACGTGCTGTGGAGCTTCAGGCATCTCAGCTGAAGTGACTGTTTCCACAGCACCTTGGATGCTTCAGTCAGATCAGATATAACCACAACTCGGGTTTGACGTGATGCCAATTTTGTCTTAAAATTCACTGAGGAAATTGAGACAAAATATTTTTTTAAACCCTCAGGAGCACCTAAAGTAAATATTTATCAGTATTTAAGTATTTAAAATACATTTTGTTTCTACTTGAAGCTTTAACCCCTTCCATTCCTGCAAGTGTGCCTTTGAGAGCCCCCATGTGAGATTGACTTCACCGGCCACCTCACTGACCTCCTGAGAATTTTAATCTCTTCCTACCCTCTTGAACAGAGCTTCCTGTTTCCTCACTTTGCAGGCTGTACAACAGAGAGGGTTCTGTATTTTTGCTCATATTTCTACCCTGCTTCTACACTTGGGTGGGGGCCTCTGGAACCCCCGACCCCCACCCCACATTTGGGAGCACAAATTTGGTGTCAAAACAAGCTTAAATTTAGTTGTAAGGGCTTACTCTCCTCCCAGCCCTCTGCGGATTGATTTGATTTTAATGTTTGAGGTTGGTATCAAGAGCTGAAACCATGAACTATCCTAGGAACTGTGTTGAAACTCTTTAAAGTAAAAGAAGATGAGGAAGAAAGAAAACCAACTTAAGAAATCTTGACTTTGGAGGACAGAAAGCCACCAGCTGATGGAGAACAAAGGGATGCTTCCCTTTCACTTTAATCTCCTGGGTTTCCTTCTGCTTTTGCTGCTTTCCTTCCCCTTAAAAGTGATATTCCTGGTTGGTTTGTTCGTCTGTCCTTGTCCTTTCGGTGACCCTGGCACGGTGATGTGCTCTGCTTTGCATTATCTGTGGTTTTTGCCAGCGCACAAGTCGGTGGGGAGGATCTGAACACATACAGGGGCAAGGAAGCTGAAGTTCAAGGCCTGCTCCGCCTGCAGCCTCCCCATGAACTGCAGAAGGCATGATCTGCATGGTCGCCAGTAAGTGGCTCCCTCTCACCACGTTCCTTGTCAAATGCGAGCAACCCTTAGGCATTGGCTCCACTGTACTCTTTCCTCGCTCTGCTCCCCTCCCACCAACCAGGGTTCATGTCAGTGCACACCAGTCGTGCCCTGGCGAAGCCGGTGCTGTGAGTGATGTTTCCCATACAACTCAGGGGTCCTGGGTGGCTTACCCTGAGATGATCATTTTAGGCACATAACAGTGTAGGAATGAAAAGTGGATTTGATTTCATTGGTATTTAAATCTCTGTCGATTTTATTTTTTGTTAATGTTTTCCCCCGATGACTTTTTAGCAGTTTAACAAATAAAAAGAAATGGACAGAATTGTCTTAACTGTTTCATTAGCATAAAAGAAAGAAAACAAGCTGCGATGGAAAGCAATTGGAGATTAATGTTGGAAGCAAAGTCGTTGGAAAGATACTCTTTCCTCCTCTAGGAGGGTTGCCTGTCCCTGAGGACAACGGCATTTAATAATAAAGCAGCTCTGTCCATCATACTTGAAGGACTCTGTTTCAGAGCCTCAGTTACCATCCTGCAGTGGAGACCCAAGAGAGGTGATGAGCTTGGACCAGAGGCCTGGGGGCCAGGATGACATCTACGCCTTTACTGGCCTCCTAAGCAAAGATGAGGACACAGAGCGTCAGGGTCTTGAAACAGCATAGCAAGTGGGGGTTAGGAACACAGGCCTGAAGCCCAGAGGCCTGTGGCTAATCCTGCCCTCCCCTGTTTACTCCTTAGCCTTGGATACGAGTCTCGTCATCTGTGAATGTAGTTGTTTCTACTTTATAGGATCATGAGGATTAACTGAAGTTGTACATGAGAAGCATTAGCACAGTGCCCGGCACACAGTAAGTGCTTAATAAATGGTGGCTATTATTTATAGTTAGCCCTTGGAGAAAATACATGATCTTGAAGGAAAGTGCTGGGGTCAGTGTGCAAATTGTTAGGTGCGTGCCCATACTTAAGGATTACGCGCGTCCACAGTTGTCTGGGTCATCTTTGAGATGTCACCACACAAACCTTTGAGGCTTTTGCCTCGAGAGCGGTACATCACAGCTGCTGCCGTAAGTCAGGCCAGAACGGTCTAGTTGTTTCATCTCCCTTTGGACTTTATTCTTGATTTGCCAGTTGAATTTGGCCTCTAGCACAAAGAATATTCTGCCTGGATTGAAGGCACACTTAGTTGGCTCCCAGTCTGGAAGTGTGGTTTGGGGGCTGATGATATGAGTCTGCCCACCCACGTGGGGACCTGGGAGGAACCCGGCACCATGAGGGTAGGGGCTACAGCCCCTGGATCTTTTCACCAAGCACCATTACGGTTTTTTTTTTTCATTTAATGTGTGCTGATCGTTGACATTGTCCCAGGCTCAAGTGCTATGAGCCTGCAGCTCTCATCCTGTCTGCACATTTGTGTTTCCCAAGCTGCAAGATGAAACTTTTCCATTTCTAACAACATGTGGTCTGATGCTATCTGTTCTGTTTACTGAGGCATGTAGCAGACTAGACCGTGATATGAGGAAGGATCTCAGTACAGGGGGCCCAGCACTGTGTGCTAGCAGCTACTGATTTGATTTGGTGGTGGTAGGGGTAGAGTGATCCTTTTGAATGCTTCCACAGTTGTCCCTGCAGAAAGGTTGGGCTAGCAAGTCCTTGTGACTCTGTTGGGCTAAGCAAGCTTTTAGTCGGTAGAAGCTGTAGGGAAGAGATTTCAGGGTCACTGGGGAGAACTCTGTATGGTCAGAGCTCTGTGTAATGAGTGGAACCAGTGTGGCATCACTGGAGGACCTCAAGCGTTGCCTGGATAGTCAGCCTGTGGGATGTTGTAGAGGAGGTGATGTTCAGTGGGTTACGGTGCCAGTGGTGATTGGTGGCCCTAGGGAAGACCCCACATGCCCAGCCTTCAGGCCAGGCCAGTCTCACAAGGCTCCTTGACAGCTTCCTAACTCCGTCTGTCCATGCCAGGAGCTGTGCTCCTGACTACTGATGAGCAGGCTCCCGCTCTGGAGGGGATCAGAATGTGAAGACAGTGATGTGATTGGCCCCAGGTCAGAGGATGTGTGGGGGCAGAGACGAGGGGACTTGCCAATTTGGGGAGAAAGCTTAATGTCAAGAACACAGCTCAGAATGGAGCTGTGACTCATCCCAGGCCTTGCAGTAGCTGGCAGCCTCTGCCTTCCCCTGCAGTCCTAGCACAGCGCTCCCTGGCCACTCCCCTGGGGACTGAAGGGCCTCAATGACCAATCCCAGCCAACAAAAGGGCAACGCCACACTGTCCTTTCTGCTTCCCTGGTTTCTACAGCTCTTCTCCAGTAGGCCCTGTGGGGAAGCACTGCAGGATTCACTCAAGCGAGGAGATCAAGGCCTTGCACGTGTTACTACTATCTTGAGCTAGCTCCTCAGCCCACAACTTTGCCTCCCATCACCCTAATCCGGGGAACCTGGCAAAGACCAGACCGTGAGCACCCTTGGGTCCAGGTAGGACAGGAGACATCACTTTGGAATCCTGCAGGCTGATTTGTTTGTAGTGTTGCCACAAGGACTGGGGTTTACCCTTCTCAGCACCTCCAGGCAGAGGGGAGCATCCCCAGCTAAAGTCAGCCTTCTGGTCTCAGTGGTCATAACTATCACCTCCTCCCTGCAATATACCATTGAAGAAAGCAATCCAGCATCCTTGTGGATTTTTTGGTGAGGTAATGAGTTCACTGTTGCTGGAAGTATTCACAGAGAGACTGATAGCTTGCATGGCAGGGGATGGCAGAGCTGATTTATAATGCATCAGATCAGTAATGGGACCAAAGGACCTCTGTGTGCCCTGTCAATTCTTAGAGATGTTCTGTGGACTGAGAAAGGACTTCCCAGAGAGGCTGTGGGACAGGGACATAGGCACAGACTTTGAACTGGGAAAGACCTTGTTTCAAAAGCTGGTCCTGTCACATTAAGCTGGGGCGAGTCATCTCACCTCTCTGAACCTCAGCTAAAATGGCAATGATGCTGCCAGTCTCACCGGTTAGCGGCTTAGCTGGAGCCAGCAATAACTTGCTAGTCTGTGGCATGGCTGTGATTCCTTAAAAGACCATCTGGGGGCACCCTATGAAAGGCTTTGAGTCCTAGGCACTATCAGAGGCAGTCTTGAGAAGGAAATTGAATGGGCTACCTCTGTTGGTAAAGCCTGATGAGGACCCCTTCTCTGGCCTCGCACTTCTGAGCACCATCCCCAGGCTGGCCCTCTCTGCTCCAGCCCCCAGCTGTGAAAGCCAGTGTTTTCCCCATGGGGCTAGGCTCTGGACCCAGACCCCGTCCACATGCACAAAGCTGAGCTGATGTTTTAAGTAAATGCCAAAGAGGCCTGGCAACGTGTGCCATGCCCCCACCAGGGAGCCTGTCTGCCCACCCGCTGCAGGGAAGAGGGCTGCAGGGCCAGGACTTACCAGGCAGACGCCTGGGAGGAAGAAGGAAGCTTCCGCCCGGTGGGGAGGCCAGGGGACTTGGGCTGCCGCCTACTCACTGCGGGGGTGGGAGGATCGCTCATTCTCAGCACACGATCCCTGAACATGGACTGACCCCGGATGCACCAGACAGATGAATCAGAAGAGCTCACAACCTCATCACAAACCAGGGAGGTGTCACTTTGGGCTGAACAAAGATGACAAATCCTGAGCTTCTGAAGCCAAAAAACAGTCTAGGTATGTCATACTAAAAAAATAAGGTGGAGTCAGTAGAACAGCCCACACACCCAGCGGGGGCAGGACATCTGAGAAGAAGCCAGACAACTAGGAAGCTCTTGTCCTGGCCTCACCCTGCTAGACTGAGGCAGGGGCCCGTGAAGATAGAGCCTTCCTAGGGTCCCTGGTAGGTGGGGTCCAGGCCTGGCCTCAGACTGGAAAGACAGACTCCCTCTGCTCCAGGACGGATGCAAAAGGGCTGGGGGGTGGGTGCTACCATATCCAGAGCAGCCGTATTCAGGGCTGAGGACAATGCAGAGTGACCAGAGGTCATCCTCTCAGGTGTTGCAGGGACGGAAGCTCATAACCAGAATCCATGATGGGAGGAGAGAACACCTCTGAACAGAGGCCAGCACAGATGAGGCCATGACAAAGGTGTAGAGCGGAAGGCCCACCCCCGACCTCTACTCCACCATGGTTCCCTGGCATTTGGGTAAGCGCCTCCCACCAACCCCACTGAACATGAGCCCCAGGGCCAGAGCAGGGGGAGATTAAACAACACTGAAGTCTGAGTGTTTAAGCTGTAGAGAATGAGGAAATCACTGAATTTAAGTTTACCAGGAAATCGCTGGATTAAAATGTGCATGGCAGAGACAGATTAAATTGAATCAGAGGAAACAAAGCTCTATTTCTTAAATACCTGAGTCAGTGAAGGTAAAAACTTGTACTTGCTCCAGTTAGAAGGAGAGGAGTCAGGTGAAGTGCTTGGGAGTCACAAGAAAAAGATGAGAGGGGTTATGGCAAGTGCTGGACAAAGGAAAGAAAAGGGTCTTCCAGTAGAGGAAACAGCCTGTGCAAAGGCACAGAGCTCTGGGTGTGACTGGAGTGGACAGGGCAGAACTGGAGAATGAGTTGGAGATGGGGGACAAGAGGCAGAGCCCAGGAATGAGTGTCCTAACCCAGTAGTGGCAATGAAGAGAAGATATAGAAACATAGGGAGAAAAATCAGCCTCTGGTGGCCGGCTAGTTCTGGAGGTGGAGGAGGAGGCGTCTAGCCAGCACAGATTCCTGCATTAAGCAAACAGATGGTACCCACTGTCAGGGTTACTGCCAAGGCACTGTCTGCCCTGTGGAGTTTGCATTTCAGTGGAGCATGGGGAGAAGGGATGACATATAGGTGAACAACTAAGCAAGATTATTCCAGGTGAATACCATGAAGAAAATAAAAATGCGATGTGACAAAGTGTAATGGGGTTGGATCATCAGAGCAGCCTTTTGGAGGAGGCAGCTGGGACCTGAATGTAAGAAACAGTAGCCGTGGAAAGATGGCAAGGAAGAGCATTCCCTGCAGAGAGAACAGCAGGAACAAAGGCCCTGAGGTCAGTGTGAGCTCGACAAGTTCAAGGAGGAGAGAAAAGCAGGGCGCACAGGTGGGCCTTGCAGGCCATGGTGAGGGAGGGGTGTGGACACTGGTGCAGTGGGAAGCTGTTAGAGGGTTTTAACAGGGGAGTGACACATGAAGCTGTCTGGGTCAAGGACATTAGACTTGCCAGCAACCCCAGACTCGAAAGAACTTCCTGGGGATGATTTGGCAGCTCCAGCCCCAAATCCTGTATGTATGTATGTATGTATGTATGAGGGGGCAGTAATTAGGTTTATTTATTTTAATGGAGGTACTAGGGATTGAACCCAGGACCTCATGCATGCTAAGCGCACACTCTACCACTGAGCTATACCTTTCCCGGCAAATCCTATATTTAAAGAGAATCTGGACACATTATATCTGCCAACTAGAGTCCTCTCTACCCTACTGCCCTGCTTATTAATCTCCACCAGAGTGTGGAATACACAGGGCGAGGTTTGTATCTCTTATTGTTGTCTTCCCAGTGCCTGGCTTGGCACCAAGATAGCTCATAAATATTTGACAAATACATGTCCTCATCCCCTCGTGCCTGGAATGTTCGCCTTGCTTCCTAACTGGTCCTTCTTCCAGGCTCACCCTCTTCGGGCCATGCTCCATGCTGTAGCTGTAGCCAGTCAATCAGTCAACACATTTTTATTAGGTTTTTACTACATGTCAGACATATTTTAGGTATTGGGATTATTATGGGCTGAATTATGTCTCCCCACCCTGAAAAAAAATGCATATGTTGAAGACCTAACCCCCCAGTAACTCAGAATGTGGTATTTGGAGAGAAGATCTTTACTAGGATGAGTAAAGTAAAATGAGGTCATTAGGGTGGGCCCTAAACCAATATGACTGGTGTCATTATTAAGGAGAGGAAACTGGACAAGGACTCACACAGAGGGAAGGTGATGTGAAGACACAGGGAGAAGACAGTCACCTACAAGTCAAAGAGAGGGACCTAGAGCAGATCTTTCCTTCTCAGCCCTCAAAGGCATTAACCCTACAACACTTTGATCTCAGGTTTCTAACCTCCGGAGCTGAGAAAATACATTTCTGTTGTTTAAGCCACCCTGTCTGTGGTACTCTGTGGTACTGCAGCCCTAGGGAACTAACACAGGGATGGATATAACAGAACAAGAAGACAGGGCCCCTATCCTAGCTTATGTCCTAGATGAGGGGGACAGGCTGCATTTGAAAATTCCCAGGATGATGGGAAAGAGTGAGCCTAGGGCGTGGGGACACATCCTTGAGTGGTAGAGGAAGAAGGCTTCTCTGCAGGAGACATTCACTCAGAGACCTGAGGGGAAGCAGCCATCCAGGTGAGGCACTGGGGATAATGCAGAGAGCCCCAGGTGGTGGGGAATGCAACTCAGAGGCCCTAAGTGGGAACAGAAAAAGGCCAGGGTCACTGGAGTGCTGCAGGCCAGGGGAAGAGGGTGACAGTTGAAAGCAAGAGGTGATCAGGGGGTCACAGAAGGCCTTGGAGGCATGGAATTTGGATTTTATTCTGAGCTCAGTGAAAACTACTGAAAGAGTGTCATCATGAGTGCCCTGGATTTATGTTGCAAAAAGATCATTCTATAAAGCTATTTTAAAAAAAAAATCAGTCTGGTCCCTGTGTGGCATCCCAGAGGGAAAGCAGAGAAACCCTGAAGCAGCTGCAGCATCCTGGCGAGAGATGGAACCTCGAATTTGATAGTGTCCCTTCTCCACTTAGGCTCCCTAGGCGTCCCACCTGCCCCTGCCTCTGCCCTCCAGGTCCTCGGGTCTCTGTATGTGTCTGCCCACCTGGGCCATGTACTTCTCAAGGCTGGGGACTGTTTCTCTGCCTTGACAAATCTTCCTCTTGAGGCCTTCAACCAGGAGGTGCTCAAACTGAGGGGAAGACCAAACAATGAAGAAGTAAGTACATTAATCAGAAGGTTCTACACTAGAAAGGTCTTTAGGTAGATGATCCGCCTGTTTCACCTGAGACCCAAAGAGGAGACCCTTACAGGGATACACAATTTAGTGGTCAAAGGGGCACATGAGAGAGGAACTCACTAGACCATGTTCACAGCATCATTCTGAAACGCAATTCCAACCACCCTACTCCCTGGTTTCAACTGTTGACTGGCTTCCTGTCCCCAGCAGTGGTGATTATGTAAGTGAGGTCTTCGGGCATCATTCAGGACTGAATTGTTTCGCCCTCACCCCCACGCTCCAAATCAGTGTGTTACAGCCCTAACTCCCAGTGTAACTTATTTGGAGATAGGGTCTTTAAGGAGATAATTAAGGTTAAATGAGGTCATGAGGGTGGGGCCTTAATCCAATATTACTAGTGTCTTTATAAAAAGAGGAAGACACACCAGGGTGTGTGTGTACAGAGAAAAGGCAGTGTGAGGACTCAGAAGGCAGCTGCCTACAAACCAGGAGGGAAGTCTTCACCAGAAACCAACCCTGTTCCATCTTGATTTTGGACTTCTAGCTGCCAGAACTGTGAGAAAAATTTTTTTGCTATTTAAGCCACCCAGTCTGTAATGTTCTGATGGCAGCCCAAGCAGCCTGACACAGAGCCCAGGTTCAGAATTGCCCTGTGCTCTTGTTAAACGGACAGGCTCGCAGACCCAACCAACCCCCCGAAGTAGAATCTCTGGGGGTTGGGGCCCAAGAATCCATGTTTTGAACAGGTTCCTAATGCTCACTGAAGTGTCCTCTCCGCAGGCTCCAGAAGGCAGTGAATACTGATTCCCCTAATCCTCTGGCCACTAGCTCCTCTGATCACCAGTCTCCCTCTCTGTGCCCAGGAGGACTTCACATCTTATCCGGCCGCCAGGTTAACTAGCACACTCATTCTGCCGAGTTGCTCCATTTGCTCACACTCTCCCTGAGCCCTCCACAAGCCAAGCCAGGGCAAGGCTGGCTGTGAAGTCTGGAAACCTAGGGATAAATCAGATCTGAGCCCTGCCGCTGAGGCACTCCTGGGCCACGGCGAGAGCTCCACACAGCTGTGGATAACCTGACTGTGGTGAGATGCAGCAGCAACTGCAGGGAGGGGAGCAGAATGACCTGGGAGTATGGGCAATGGTATCAAGCTGCAGAATCCTGCTGAAATGGTTATTAATTGGTTGTATTCCTGCCTAGCGGGGAAGCAAGTTGCAGGCAAGCGCCCTGTCACATCCTCGTCCCTTCTACTCCCTAGGGGCCTCATAATGGGCCTCAATGATTTGTGGGTTCATGGCCCTCTGGCTGCCTTCTATTTTACTAGAATGGCCCTCCTAGTGGCTGGGGACAACGTTTTGAAAACACAAGACCCAGCGTGGCAGAAAAGAGACGTACTTCAGAGTCCAGGAGCCCTGGGTTCTGAGTCTAGTTTTCCTACTGATCACCGGTATGACTTCAGACAATCACATTATCTCTGAGTTTCCTCATCTACAAAACAGGGATAATACTTTCTACACAGGTTTGTTTGTAGAATTAAATGAGCTAAGCTCTGAAAGCCCCACTCTCTGGGACTTAGTTGACTTTCAGTAAAGGTTAACTCTTAGATTATTCCTTACAAAACAGTGATTTGCCCTATTTGAAGGCATGGCAAGAAGACACTAGTAAAAATGACGAATAGTGGACAACCTCTCAGTAATGATCCACCTGCATCTTGTCCAACTATGGGGCGTTTACTGAGCAGGCATCTTCTGGGTAACGGGCCTGGTGCCCAGTGTTGGAACAGTGGAGAGGGGCTCATGGCTCAGTACTGGAACATCAGCTCCAGGAAGGCAGGGACTTATTGTTGCCAGTGCATTCCCAGCAGCTGGAACGGGCCGGGCACATCGTAGGCGCTTAGTAATTATTTGTTGAATGAGTGGCATAAATCAATCAATTAATAAATGACTGACTGGAAGGCCTCTGACTCATAAGAACTTGAGCAAATCTCTTGACTTCTCTCATCTGCGAAGCCAGAGGCGTTTAATTATTCATCTCGAGTTAATTAATCTTGAGCTGCCGAGCAGGATTAATAATAATAAATTATTAATTATTAATTATCTGCGCGGTGGTAGCTGCTGAGGTGGGAGAGACCGATCCTGCCAGGAACAAGGCAGTTCCGCCCCGCCCCCAACATCTCCATGACAACAGCCTCCGCACATGCGCCTCAAGCACCGGCGCCTGAGCAGGCGGCGTGAGCCGAAGCCGGACGCAGGCAGGGCGGAAGCAGGCCGGGACGGCTGGGTGGCGGGAGCGCCGGGCGGGCTTTTAAAGGGACAGTCTCCACCCGGGCCTTTTCTCCCGCGGGGACTGCTGATGGTGACGGCTGGGTGGCCCTGGAGGTCGGGATCGAGGAGGTAAAGAAGAAGCAGGGATGTATGACCGCCCCGTCCCGGAGGTGACAAGGGAGTGAGGGGCTGTGTAAATGCCCTCTGGGGCATTTATCGGATGGCTGTCCCCCAGGGAGCAATACAGAGGAGAAAGGACTATGGAATTCCGCCTTCTGGGTAGTAAGAGGGAGACAGAGCTTTGTAACTCCTCAGGATATTGAAAGGGAGCTTGGATTACAAATTTGTTAATGGGGATAATAAAAAGGGTGGGCCCCATAACTACTTCAACCCCCAAGGAGGGGCTGGGGCTCCAAGGGAGAGTTCGAGGGCTGGTTAAAAGGGATCACAGGTACAGCTTGGGACAGTTAACCTCTCCCCTCCGTGTCGCTTGCCCAGCCATGGCCAGACCAGCCGCTCCGGGCTCAGTGATAGTCCCAGACTGGCACGAGAACGCCGAGGGCAAGGAGTACCTGGCCTGCATCCTGCGCAAGAACCGCCGGAGGGTGTTTGGTGAGTGCCCCCCTCCCCCAGCCTGTCAGTTGCCACTCCCTGGGGAGAAAAGTGTCACCTGTCCCTCCCTGTTGGGAGGGTGGGGAGCAGAGAAGCGGGGCAGTGAGACCCTGCTCCACTGCACTCTTCAGCCTTGGGAACCCCAGAAACCCTATCCCGGGGGGCCCACCCCCAAATCTCCTTAGAGTTAATTCCATCATCAGAGCCAGGAACATGGAAACAGCCGAAATACTGCCAGGAACCACTATCACCAGAGACACTGTTGATTGAGCCATCACCTGGTGCCAGGCCCTCTGCTGGGCACTTTATACAATGGACCCCAGTTTAACCTCAACAGCACACTGCAGACGTGTCCAAGATCCCCTAGTGAGTAGAGACCAGCCGCTTCCAGATCCTGCTGTCTCCAGGATAAGACACTCATGTTCCCCAGGATGAAGCTAACTCATCCAGGCAGGGCCAGCTGACAGGCCGGCAGAGGGGCCTGGCATCGGTTGCAAGAGTCCAGCTCTAGCCAAGAGAGACAAAGCACCAGAAGGCTTAAGACCAGAGAGTGAGAGGGCAACCCACAATTTAGGACTTCCAGGCATTACACCTGTAGGTGTATGGCTTAGACTTTTTGGGGGCAAATTTTAAATTAAAAACATTGATAAAGATCTTGATATATTGATTCTAAGGAGTTTATTTATAACTAAGAATACTTTTGCTGATATTTCTCCACTGAGGAAATAATTCTGAAAAGCCTTGCTTTTACATGTGGGAAGTCTAGGATATGTGATAAAGTTATCAATAAAAGCCATCTTGTGCATCAAACTTAAAAAAAAAACAGTGTTATTTGGAGTAGGTGCTGGCCCACTTCACAGAGCACAGGTGTTTCCAGCAGAACTTCTCCTCCCGGGATGTTGTTTGTATCCCAGGCCTCTGTCACAAGTGTAGAGAATGGTTTGCTGGCACTGAAAAAACCCTGAGAGATGAGGTTGTACAAGCCAGGGTCTGATGGGGCAAGCGCAAGTTGACCCCCTGACCCCACCTGGCTCCCGCCTTGCCCCAGGGCTGCTCGAGCGACCAGTTCTGCCCCCACCTGTGGCCATCGACACTGCCAGCTACAAGATCTTTGTGTCTGGGAAGAGTGGTGTGGGCAAGACAGCGCTGGTGGCCAAGCTGGCTGGCCTGGAGGTGCCCGTGGTGCACCATGAGACCACTGGTGAGTCCCTCCTCGGAGACCTTCCCTGGGACGGAGAAAAGACTCACCTGGAGCACATAAGCTGGGATTTGTAACCAGCCCCACCATTTACTCTGCAACCTTGGAAAGTCACTGCACCTCTCTGAGCTTACATTGGCTCCTCTGTCCAGCAGGGATAATAGTACCAACTGCTTGGTGTTGTTGTGGGGTTAGGACTAGAGATAGTGGTGGTAACATGCCTAGCAATGAGCTGGCACTCAGTAGGTGCTCAGAAAACACTAATCTTCCTTTCTTGTTTCCTTCCACTGGTTGCTAATTGACCATCATGTTGCAGCATATGACAGTATTCTGGGACCTTTGGATCTCCATGTTCACAAGAGTTAAACTAGTTTGTCGTGGCTTGGGCTAGGGCTGCATCTCCCTGGTAGACTGGAGGCTCCTCCCAGGCAGGGCAGTTCCCCCATCAACTAAGAATTCACCCACATCAGGAACTAGGCCTTCCCCATCAAACTGAGGACCCACCAAGGCAGGGACATATCTCCTCCCCCTATTCCCTCCTGGCCCCCTACTCCTCTCCACCTCTGCCTCTCCCATGCTGAGTGGCTGACCCCGACCTCCCCAGGCATCCAGACCACCGTGGTATTTTGGCCAGCCAAGCTGCAGGCCAGCGACCGTGTCGTCATGTTCCGCTTTGAGTTCTGGGACTGTGGGGAATCTGCGCTCAAAAAGTTCGACCACATGTTGCCGGTGAGCAGGCAGGTGGGCCTGGGTGGGTCCAGGAAGGGCTGGTTATCTGAGGTGGGCTTCTGAATACAGGTGGCTAAGCCTGGCCTGCCTGGTCTGCGGGAGCCAGAATTGGGCATGACTGGACTGAGGATGCTGCCATCCTGGCCTGGGAGTGCTCGGAGCTGGCACTGGGGACTGGGTCCCAGCCCGAGCTCTGCCCTGGGACCAGCCACTCCCTGCTCTGGGCCTCAGTTTCCCAGGCTGCAAAAGGAAGGATGGCGCTGAGACTTCTCAGGGCCTGAAGCTGATAGGTGCATTCTGGTCCTGAGGTTGTGAGCCTTGCATCAGCCTCTCATCAGCCTCTCCATCCCCAGGCTTGCAAGGATAAAACGGATGCTTTCCTCTTCCTCTTCTCCTTCACTGACCGTGCCTCCTTTGAAGACCTCCCTGGACAGCTGGCCCGAGTAGCAGGCGAGGCCCCTGGTGTGGTCAGGATGGTCATTGGCTCCAAGTATCCTTTGGTGGCCCCTACGATTGTCAGAGGCTACATTTGGAAAGGCCAGAGCAAGGGGGTCAGTGACCCTGCCTCTGCCCAGCCATGGGGTCCAGCCCCATGTACTTTACCTTAAAGGCTGCAGCTGAGCATCCCATAGACCCTGGATGTGGATGGTGAGGGAGGAAAGAAAAAGCTGGGTTTGATGAGGTGGTAAGCAGAGGTCCCCGGACAGGCTCCTTGACCCTCCTCCATATTTGACCAGTACATGCACACAGATGTGCCTGAGCGTGACCTCACAGCCTTCCGGCAAGCCTGGGAGCTGCCCCTCCTGCGGGTGAAGAGTGTGCCAGGGCGGCGGCTGGCAGATGGACACACGCTGGATGGACGAGCTGGGCTGGCCGACATGGCCCACGTGCTCAACAGCCTGGCAGAGCAGCTGTGGCACCAGGACCAGGTGGCAGCTGGCCTGCTCCCCACCTCCCCAGAAGACATCCCCAGCTGAGAGGTGATGGCATTGTGAGTGGGCACTCCAAACCCTCAGGTGACCTAAGGCTGGGGCAGGAATGTTGATCTCACCCCGAGGACTGGCCAGAAGAGCCTGGTCAGGGAGGATGGGGTCCTGAAGGCTCCTGCCCCAGCAGCACTTACCTTGCGGAATTCAAGCAGGGGGCACAAGGCATCTGACCTAGATGTCCTCTGGCTTTCTCCCTCTGCCCTACAAATCTGGGCTCTTGGAAAATGAGGAACTGAATGGGCAGGGCCTGAGGGCTCAAATGTCTCCCCCAACCTCCCGCTGCCCTCCCGCTTTTGCAGCATCTGTGGAGGAAGAGGTGATGCCTCAGCTGGGCCCTAGACATTAAGTGACTTCAATCAACAGTTTGTGTATTGGAGGGAGGGTATAGCTCAGTGGTGGAGTGCATGCCTAGCATGCACGAAGTCCTGGGTTCAATTCCCGGTACCTCCTTTCAAAAAAATAAGCAAATAAATAAACCTCATTCCCTTAAGGAAAAAAAAAAAGAAAAAAGAAACAAAAAAACAGCCTGTATTAGTTGAGGAACACCATCTGCTGCTCCAGATAAATCCTAAACTCTCAATAGCTTAACCTTGTAGTCTTTTCTTCCTTATGTCTCACCTCAGGTGGAGGTTAAGGTGGGTATGGGGGCTCTGCGCCAACCACTCATTCAGAGACCCAGGCTCTGAGATCTTCAACACATGGATTCACCCTGGGGCATCAATATCCAGTCAGCAAACTGGGAATGAGTACAGGTCACTCTGCAGGATTCTGTGGACCTGGTGTAGGGTGCTTTGCCTCATTGCTGCCCACATTCCATTGGCCAGCACCTAGTCACATGATCACACAGCTGCAGGCGATGCTGGGAAATGTAGTCTATTTGTGTCCAGTGGGTGAACCCCTCAGTCTGTAGTGCCTTTCTTGACTATGAAGCTGTCAGACTAGGCTTAAGACAGGGGCCCTGCTAGCCTGGGGGTATCAGAAAGCATCACTGGGCAGGGCCAGGGACTGGGCCAGGTTGGGGTCAGGGCGTGAGTTGGCCTGACAGGCAGCTCTGCCCTGCAGGAGGCCAGCAAGAACAGGAGCAGGCGGGTGAGTCAACTTGTGTCCCTGTCCCATTAGCCAGACACTGGTGAAGGCAGGCTAATGGGGGTGGGGGGAGACACGGGGTATAAAGAGGGCATTTATACTTTCACTCCCCAATGACACAGTATCCAGTTCCATAGATGGATCCCTGGGTAGAGGGCTGGCCTGAGTCTGGCCCACCTGGAAGGGCCCTGGATGCCAAGGTCAGCCATCCGATCCTCAGAACCCCCTCTTGAGAAAGCAGCTCCCGTAGCTCTGCACACTCCACACTCACAAGCATGATCATGTGTCCACACACACCAGCACTTATCCTAAAATGCTGCCCCACTCCTCCGTCCTGGCACGCATGGGAGGTTCCCCGTGCCATCCCTGGCTCACGCTCCTGAGTGTGCTGATGGCCTACATGGCACTTCATGCCAGTCTGTCCACGCTGGGCACTGCTCGCAGGCTTATGAACCCTTCTAGGGCCTAAAGGATTGATTAAAACCTTCTTACCTCCAGCTCAGGTTCAGAGCTGAGGCCTGAGCTTACCCCATACCCCAGAGAAGGAATATCGCTAGGCAAGACCCCAAGCCTCACAGCTTGCACAGCCCATAGGCTGGCTCCCACTCTCAGGTCACAGAGTGTCCCACTGCTGCCTTCAGCTCTGCTTTGGCCCATTTTCCTCTGTTCTTAGCTCTAGTAGTCCTTCCCCACCAGGCAGAGCAAGGTGGGACCCAGCGAAGGTATCCTCTGGGCCTGAATGTGACCTTTCAGCTATCAACACCTGTGTTGTGGGCACCAGCTGGGGCACTAGTTACCCCACTCCTAGTCAGTTATCTCTGGCCTTAAAGCTTCAGCATCCTTCTTGGGCACTGGCTTAGCCAAGAGCCAGAGGTTGCTCTGGGGAGATAACCCAGATCCTCCCCAAGGCAGAGCAGGGCAGTTTTCTCCCAGTTAGCACTGCTCCAGTCCAAGAACCAACCCCTTACCCACCTTCACTCCAGACCAAGAGGGGAACGATTCCCTTCTCCCCGAGTAAGAACAAAGTGGGGACCACACTGACGATGGGCCTTGGAGCCAGCCACCTGCCACCCCAGCACTGCTTTCTCAGCCCCTCCACGCCCAGGCCCAGTGCCACTTTCTTTTTCTTTCTTTTTTTTTTTTAATTGAAGTATAGTTGATTTACAATGTTGTGTTTTTTTCAGGTGTACAGTCCAGAACTGGACTGTGCTGGTGCCCTAATCTTGGACTTCCCAGCCTCCAGAGCTGTGTGAAAGAAATTTCTGTTGTTTATAAATCTACCCAGGTTGTGGTATTTTGTTATAGCAGTCCTATGGACTAAGGTAGGGAGACTGAAGCCCAGAGAAGGTCAAGAATTTCTCCATGGAGCAACTCTGATGCTCTTAGCCCTCTGCACCACTTTCCCCTGGGCTGTTCTTCCTCCTCATCCCCTAATGCTGTCTTCTGCATCTAGCCCCTCACAGGTTCCCACTTGGTCCTGCTTTTCCAACCAGAAGCCTGGAGCTGCCTGTAGGAGGGGAAATACATATCATGCTGGTGCCTCCCCCCACCTCACCGTCTTCCTGGCAGTCACTGTAGTCCCAGTGGTAGGCCAAGGTGATGCTCTTGCGCTTTCAGTGCTCCAGGAAGGCCATGGCCCAGAAGGACATAAAGATGTTGAGGAACACAGTTCCCAGATGGTCAAAGAGCTAGCCCAGCTGCGAGGGAGGGAGAGAGGGCACACTGCAGGGCCTGGCCCAGCACTGCCTTCCCAGTAGCCAGGCCCAGGTACTGGGTCCCAAACACCTATCCACTCCCTTGCGCTCTCTCTCTTCCCTGGCTCACCTTGGCCATGGGGCAGATCTTGGAAATATGCCATGTGGCACAAGTATTGCAGAGTGGGCACATGAGGAAGGCACACCTGCTGGCACAGATCTCCTATGAGCAAAGGGTACCCATCCTGGCAGGGTCTATCCTCAACCAGACAGCTGACTCTGCCCACCCAGCTCCCCTTTCCCGCTCCCAATCACTCAGGCCGGTATGTCGGTGCCCGTGGTGACTAGGCCAGAAATAAAGACCAGGGTGCCCACAAGAGAAGCAGGCAGCAGGCTATGTAGAAACCTGCAGGGGTGACAGCACGCTCGTGAGCCCCCATCTCTGTGCTCAACCCCAGCTCTCAGCCCTCACCCCCAGCACCAGACTCACCTAACCAGGCAGAGTAGATAGCCACCTTCTCCTCAGAGTACTCTCATATGTGGTCCAGGGGCTGGTACTTATACCAGCATCCCCAGTGCACCCACTATGAATACAGTTAATTGTTAAGGGTTGAGGTCTGCACCAGGCACGTGGTACCCCAGCAGTTCAAAGGAGCCCTAAAGGGCTGCAACGAAGCCCCAGAATTCTCTCCTTATGCCTCCACAGTGGGAGATGGCTAGGCTTGCCTCATCTCTCCCTCATGCAGTGGGGAAGGCTGCAGCATAGACTCCCTCGGCCAGCAGATGAGCAATGCCCATCTCTGCACGTTTCTGTTTCCTGTATCTCTGCCACCTGCCAGAAAGTATTCTGGCATCAATTCTGCCCCCTTAAGGTTCCAGCTGGACCTTCCTCCACAGGCAGTCTTCTCACCACTTGGTGCCTCTGTGTGTTAGAGAAGTCGGAGTCGTGGGAATCGCTGCCCAGGAATCTGTGGGCAGAGCAGGGGTCAGAAGCTGAACTCTCTGTCAAATCCGGGGCCCAGTACAACGGGAGTGCAGTCTCTAGGCTGAAGACAGGGATAAAACTTACCAGTTGCTAAAACCAGAGAGTCCTTCTACCTACAAACTCAGCCTAAGCTGGGTGCGTTCCAGTCAGCTGAGCACCTGAGGGGGATTGAACGAGTGGGAATCAGGGACGGGGAGCTGCTAGGGCATGGCCTGGACCCCAGGCTGCGGAAAGGGCAGGCCTGAGACCTAAAGTGAGTTAAGCAGGAGTTGCCTCCCTGGCAAACCAAGGGGGAGCAAAGGAGCCTTGATTTGACTAAGACTGCGGCTGGCGTCCCTCCCCTCTATCGGAGGCCCCGCCCACCCGGGGGCCACCCGTCAGCCTCACTTGTCTAGCTTGGCGCCGCGGAAGGTGCACGTGTAGAAGTCCAGCGGCTTATTGGACAAGCGTTGCTGCAGAGCTTTGCACAGGCGCAGGCGCCGCAGCAGCTCTGCCGACCCGTCCGAGTCCGGGTTAGGTCGCGCCTGGAAGACAAGTGCAGAGTCACAGGTAATTGGGAAGACCCCGCCCCCCGGGCTGACCCCGCCCTGGCCCTCTGCTCCCACCTGCAGCTGCGCGCGCAGGCTGAGTGCCTCCGAGTAGAACAAAAGCAGCTCCCAGGGCGCGCTCAGTTGGGCGAAGTGCCCCGTGCCGGCGCGGCTTTCGGCGGTGGAACTGCGCTTCTTGGGAGGCCAGGGTCTCTGAGTGTGCCAGAGCCCGGGGCCTCTTCCCTCGCGATCCTCCCAGGCGTGACAGATACGGTTCTGCGCGCGCGGGCGCTTGCCGCCTTCAGAAGAGCTTTGAACTAGCACCCTCATTTTACAAACGTGGAGATAGACCCTGAGTAGGCCGGCGTCATACAGTAGTGGCTGCTGTTTCCCATTTATCGGGCACCGCCAGTGTGCAGGCCCTGGGCCGAGCGCTTTACATTTAATCAATACAGCTCCTTTATGGGGCTGACACTACACTACAGTAAAGCCCATTTTACAGATGAAGTGCTGAAGTCGCTTGCACAAGTCAAAGATTCATCTGCCCAGAGATGCACAGAACCCAGACCCTCCAGGAAGATACCTTCACTTTCAAAGTCTTCATCTTTCAGTTTGCCAATTTCTACTCTTCTCCCTTCTATGTGGCATTCTTCAAAGACAAATGAGGACCTCCCCCTCCCCACAAGGCTATTGCGTCCCAGTGAAATGATCCAGCAGAATGGCAGCATCCTTGATCCTCTACCAAGGCCTTACTGTTGACCTTGAAGTTGGTCCTTGATTGCCCTGGGCCTCAATTTTCTTAACTGTAATATACCAACACAACACTGGGTAAATGTGAAACTCTTAACACCTGAATTCATTCATTCACTCAACCCTCATTGATGGCCCAGGCCTGACACCCACCTCCCACTGCTGACATTTGGGTTCATTGCCATCTTTATGGTGGCCTTTCCATAGCACCCTGGACTGGATGCTAGGGACACAGGAATGAACCAGATCTGGGCCTTCCCTTCAGGAGCTTCCAGTTTTTAATAAGGATGGGTCAAGGATCCTCATGAGCTAGGCTCCCAGGAGGTTGTGTTAACTGTTTAATTGTCATTGTCATTTGGCAGGAATCAGAGGGAGAAGCACCAAAAGAACCCATCCCCTAGCAGCATGACTCCCTGTTCCTGGGCCGGAAATAACTATTGGCTTCTCATGGGTTGAGCGGTAGGTATAAGCCATGGTCCCAACAGGCCTTCGGAACATAGCTTATCTGGGGGTGGTGAAACAAGGCCTCCCAGCATCTAGGTCACCAGGGTTATCTCTCAGTGGGTGGGAGGCCAGAGGATCAGGAGTACAGTGGAGAGAGGGGTCAGCCTCAGCATGGAGTTTAGCTGTGGCCTGGCTCCAGAGGGAGAGAGCACGTTGCAACAGAAGCAGTGGGCCTACAGTTTTGTGGGATATCCTGTTCAGTATGGCACACTGTTTGGCCCACAAAACAAGGATATGAGTACCCCTAGAAGGTCCAGCTTTTGAGGGAGGTTTTGGGCATCCCTCCCTCAGGTCTGGCAAGGGTAGGATCTGCCTCTGGGGCCTCCAAGGAGGAAGGGGCAAGACCCTAAACCCTGAGTAAGGTGCCTTGTGTCTGCCAACCACAGTGTGGCCCTGAAACCTGCCTTCTCAAGCTCGCTTAGCAGCTCTTCATCATCATGGTGGGCAAACAGCTGATCAGCAACGTGGAGAAGTTTGTCGTGCAGTGAGCACAAGGACTGACCTGGGGGCACAGAGGTGGGTCTAATCAGGTGGGAGTTGGGGGAGGCCTTTTTATGAGAACAAAACAGAAACCCTCCCTGACCAGAGATCAGGACACAGACAAAAGTCCTAGTTCTGTCTCCTGTAAGCTCTGGCATTGCTTCTCTCTAAGCTTCAGTTTCCTCACCTGTACAAAGAGGGTGATACTACCTCTCCAAGAGAGTTGAGTCGATTAAGTGATATGCTGAACAGGAAAGAGGAGGGCTTTCTGTTAGTATTTTAGAGGGGGCAGGGGATTCCAGAGACAGAGAATGGCCATGTAGGAAGCACAGAGTTGAGAGCCCTGGACTCCAAGACTGGATTTGAGCCCTGGACCCACCATTTACAACTTGGGGAGCCGTGGGCAAAGTCTCTGACTCTCCATTTCCTCATCTGTAAAGTGGGAGTGATCATGGTACCTATCTCAAAGGGATATGGGAAGGATAGAATGGCATTAGCTGGTCTCCCTGCACCCTGCACCAGGAAGCTTAAGGCCTGATGGCAGAAGAGTCAGGGAGGGGGGAGACCCAGATCGGGCAGGAGGACTATAAGCTCATTGAGTGTGAAGGCCTATTTGACGAATACCAGGAGACGGGTGAACAGTGGCCCCGCAGTACCAAGCCCAGCAAGGTCTCTGGGGGCCTAGCCCAGCAGAGGAAGTGACCTCAGGCCTGACACTCCCCAACTCACAGAGCTGCAGTTTGGGTTCATCACCATCTTCGTGGCGCCCTTCCCACTGGCACCTCTGTTTGCTCTGCTCAACAACTGGATGGAGATCCAACTGGATGCCCACACGTTCGTGAGCATAGGCAGCCGGTGGCTGAGTGGGCACAGGGCATTGGGATCTGGCTGCTCCTGCTTGAAGCCAAGGCCCACTTTTCCATTATTGTGAATGTGAGCCCAGGACAAAGAAGGGGAATACAGGGTCGGGGGAAATGAAGATCAGAGACTAGGAAGAGGGAAACGGGGGCTGAGGCTGGAAATCAGGGTCAGAGATTGGGAAATAGAGGCAGAGAGCTAGAATCCTGGGGTGCAGGCTCATTCTGTCTGTGGGAGTGGGTTTGGACTCAGGTTGGGATGAGTTAGGAGTTTAGGCCCTGAAGCCCCTCTGCAGGTTTTCCTCATTCCTTTCACCTCGGACTTCCCGCCTCGTCCCCTGTACCAGTACGAACACCACAGCCAGCTGCGTGGCCACATCAGCTTCGCACTGGCGCCGGCACCTCCCGCTTACCTCGCCCAGGGCAACCACACACCCT